GGTAATAAAAACAGTCTGTTACTAGTTCAAAATAAACAAAAGAGACGAATGGGGCAGAAAGGAGAACTCAGAAACTGACCCTTTCGAACCTAATATTGTATTTCAGAATTAGTGGGCAAGGGCAGACTAACTCTGATGGCATGAAAAAACACCATGAAACTGGGTCCTACCTGATATGACATTAAAGATGGACTCCCTAAGGGTGTTACATGAACCCTTTAAAACACAAAATAAAACTATAAATAAAATTAATAGAAGACAACATTAGCAGGCTAAGAGTGGAAAAGGTCAAAAGTTACAAACTATAAAAGCAAAAGCGATTGATGAAATTGATTACATCAAAAGGAAGGATTCCTGGTCAACAAGCGATGCCATGGACAAAAGTAACAATTGAGAAAGATTCATGGAATGTGTAAGGCCAGTGAGGGTCTGATATCTAGACCTAAGGAGAGACTCTCGAAAATCATCAAGGAAAAAGAACTGAGGTTGAAAAATCAGCAAAGATTACGAACAGGCAGTAAACTGAAGAAAACCTAAAAGGCTAAGAAATACATGAAGAGGTGCTCAAACTCCTAGTTAATTAGAGAAATGCAAATTCAAACAACCATACAACCTCACTTTACACTCAAGACATTAATAAAAGTGAGAAAGCTGGATAATGCCAAGCATGACCAGAGGGCCTGCTGCTGGGGGGTGGGGGGATAGGTGACTGGGGCAGCTTTTAAGAGAGTACTCCGGCAGGAGGGGGAGGGGTCAGACTAAGCAAAAACCCAACCTATAATCCAGCTCTCCTGCTCCTGGGTACAGGCTCAGCAAGATTATCTCAAAGATGATTAAGGGGATGTGTGCAAAGATGCTCTTGTGATTATGTTTGTGTAGCCAGAGCCGAGTCAATCCCCCTGTCCATCACTGGGAGCGTGGGTAGAAACAGTGCACCCACACGGTGAGATATAAGCCATAAGGACAAGTAATGGATTATATGTGCACACAGCAGCCACCAGGAGTCTTTCAAAGCATGATGCTTGTTGCGGGGGAGGGGAGGGGGAGGGACACAAAGTAAAACTTTTAGCCAATAGCATTTTGTAAATTTTTTAAAAAACATGTACACGAAACAATATATGCCTCACAAAGACACAAACAACTTGCACATCTACACAGTGACAGGGTTGCAGATTGCGAGTGGAAAATGGGAAAGAGGAATGAGGACAAAAGGCAGTAAGAACATAAAAAACCAAGAAAGGTTCTTGTCAAAACTAGAAAATGCCCGCAACTGGGGAGGAGGATGAGTAATTTAGCCTTCTGCACCTCAGGCCCAAACTAAAGAAAACAAAGCAACAAAAAAAGACCGAAAGTTGCCCTAGCTGGTTTGGCTCAGTGGATAGAGCATCGGCCTAAGGACCGAGGGTCCCAGATTTGATTCCAATCAAGGGCACATGATCGGGGTGGGGGCTCGATCCCCAGTAGGGGGCATGCAGGAGGCAGCAGATCAATGATTCTCTCTCATCATTGATGCTTCTATCTCTCTCTCTCTCCCTCTACCTTCCTCTCTGAAATCAATAAAAATATAATAATAAAAAATGGTTTTTTTTAAAGAAAAGCCGAAAGAGCTGGGGGGCTCCGCAAAAGCGTGAAAAGCTATTTCCAAGCTGCACACAACTAGGGTGTGAGCTGTCCATTTGTTTGAAGGAAATGATGGACCTAGTGGTGAGGGGCCCACAGAGGAGGGGAAGATTGGGCAGGGAGGCAGCCCCAGGGAAACCTCTGAGCACAGGCCCAGGGCTTTGAGGGTCTCTGGTGCAGAAACCAGGGTTAAGTTATACACTGCAATTCCCTCCAAGTGCCCTGTCCGCATGAAGTGAAACCAAGGGTCCTTATGACTTCAATTAAATTTAGTTTTAAATCCTAGCCCTAGAAATCCTCTCTCTTTCTCTCTCTCTCTCTCTCCTATATAATAAAAGCCCAGTGACAGAATGGCAGAATGACCAGAATGACTGGAACAACTGTGGCCCCTCGCCCTGGCTGACCCCACCTCCCAACGCCCTCCCCCCCCCGCACCCCAAATGGGGGCTCCCATCAGGGCAGGCCACTTGCTCCACACCAGTGCACGAATTCGTGCACCAGGCCTCTAGAGAAGCAGTTTCCCCCCCCCACACGCCCTCCAGACAACCAGCAACCTCCCAGGCAGCAGAAGACAGTAAGACTAATGGGCACAGGGTCGGGGCCCCTGGCAGGCTAAGGATAACATCTTGACCTAAGTTATGTTTCACTGCCTGAGCCCTACAGTGGAACCACCCTCTACCTACTTTCCCATGAGACCAGACAGAGGGACACTGGGAAAAACCTAGGAACTATCTTCAAGGCCTGCAAAAATTATTCATTATCCTTACCTCACCTTCGACCAATCAGCCCCCGGCACCACCCAAACCCCTAACCCACAGTGTCTGTTATTTTGCCCTCTATAGTCTGTGATCTACATGCCATGGGGGAGTTCGGGCTTTTGAGCATTAGCTTCTGGCAGTACTGTGTCTCTGGGAAGAGAAATGTCTGGGGTCAAGACCAAGTTTTGGCCACAGGCCAATGAGGAAAGAGGGAAGAAACAGAACGGAGTCCCTATCTTCAGGCTAACAAAACCACTCAGAATAAAATAGCAAATATTTCTGTGTCCAGTGTTTGGCTCTGCTAGCGCTGAGTGCATGAACTCTTTCTGTTCTGCAACATAAGGGTCTATGCCCACCAGGGGGCCCCAGTGAGACTGTGAGAGCAGCTCTTCCTCAGGGCTCTGCGGTGATGGCGGCCCAAAGCTGCCCTGAGCGGCCTTGGACTGAGGCTGGCAGGCCAAGAGGAGCTGGATGCCCAACTCCCAGAGAAGGAAAATCTGAAGGGCAGCTGCTGAGGAACAGGGCTGAGGCCATTGCCACCAAAGTAGAGGCTTCCTCATGCCCACAGTCCAGCCAAGCCAAGGAGAGACGTTCAGGGAAACACATTATACCTCATGTCATGTATTTTAATTTAAAAAAAAAAACACAACAGAATCATAATATACTGCTCTGTGACATACATTTCCTGTGATACTAAATATTCTTCTAAAACAATACCACCGTTTTATAGGATACATGCCAGTTACTTATTACTCAGCCCCCCTACCCCCCCCACCCCCGCCAGCTCTGAGTCACAGGCACTACATTTCCCAGATTCCCTTTGCCAGCTGGCGTCCTGCTAGGTTCAGTCCATAGGAGACCCTCCAGAAAATGAGAGAGAGAGAGAGTGAGAGGGAGTTCAAGTATTTCTAACCATCCCCTTCCTGCTCTGTGGTTCCAGCTCCTGCATCCCCTCCCCAGCTTTTGGACTCTGGTCCCACCAGTTTTGGTAGAAGTGGCTTTTTTGATGTTAATCTCTGGGGTGCTTCTCTAGTGTTTGGTTTCTCAGCTCTTCCATCACCTATATAACCAAGTCCCTGTTGTATTTTATTTTTTTATTGATTTCTGAGAGGAAGGGAGAGGGAGAGATAGAAACATCAATGATGAGAGTGAATCGTTGATTGGCTGCTTCATACATGCCCCACAACCTGTGCATGTGCCCTGACTGGGAATCGAACCCTGACCTCGTGGTTCATGGGTCCATGCTCAATCATGGAGCCACACCAGCTGGGCCCAAGTCCTTATTTTAACATGTTTGAATAAAGTGGATTGTCTTCCTAACTTGACACTGATACAAAATAAGCCGATCCATCATAGGGAGTGCCCCCTTTTTGCTATTAAAAATCGTACAGTAGTCAATACCTTTACAGCCAAATCTTAGTCTCCAATTATGTGTATTTCTTCTGCACAGATTTCTAAAAAATTATCCAAAACATGTTTTGATGTGTATTGCCTTTTTCCCTCTTAAATGATTGTACTAATTTGCACTCCCCCCAATAGCATGAGAATGCTCCCTCAAACCCTCCAAATTGAAGTTGGAAAACTAGGGTCTCATTTTAATTTCTTTCACCACTAGTGAGGGTCCAATTTTTTTCCCCAGCTATCTCTAGCATCCTGTTACCCTTGGTCAGTTTCCTCCCTGATTGTCAGTCAAGCAGGGCCATGTCAATGTCAGTGGGCATCTCTGGGGACTTGCGAGGAATTTATTTCCCAGGTTTGTGCTTTGCATATTAGGGAGACGAGGAAGGTTGGTAGGGAGAGCACAAAGGCAAGTGCTCTTTAGATGTTCATGTCAGGGCTGTCTCTCCTGGGTGTGGATTACACGGGCCTGCAGAAAGCAGCCAGCACCTCGGAGGGTTCTGCTAGATCTCAACAAACTGCTTAAACTGTAGACGTCAGGGCCAGCTGTAATTCTCCGATGGTGCTTGAAACAGAGGGGCCAGGCAAACCCATCTTCCAGTTGCAGTGCTGCGTTTCTGGGAAGAGAAATATCTGGGGTCAGGGCCAAGTCCTGGCCACATGCCTCTGAGGGAAGAGGGAAGAAGCAGAATGGAGTCCCTATAGGCAAGCTAACAAAACCGCTTACATCAGAGCGGCTGGGACATGAGGAATCGGTTTCATCTCACTTCAGTAGCCTGCGAACTTAAACTTTGGAACTCTCATTTGTGCATCAACATCTGGGTATACATAAATCCTCTAGATAACCCTCTGAAGAAGTTAGGAAGGATTATTTCATTGTCCAGAACATCAGGTATCTGGAAGACATCCGGAAGCTAAAAATGCAGAACTGATTCTTCTCAAGAGTGTGCTTTTTTTACTATAAAAACTCTCAACCTTTCTTTTTCTCCAGAATACTCTGGGTTTTAGCTGGTAGTGTTTCCTGAACTGCAATCCGCTTTAAGGCCCTGGAATAAAACTTGGTCATTTAATTCTGGCGAAGCTGCCTGCTTCATGTGTACACCTGTCCAAGGACATGCAGTCAAAATCGTGACACCCATACATGATTCATACTGGCCAGGAAGTACTTATATGCCCCAAACATGTGACTGCCCTCTTACAAATACTCATGAATCACACATGGAGTATTTTGAAAAATGTTAACATTTATTAATAATACTTAACGTCACATTGTTAATGCAACTAATTCTTTATGGTACGCAACAACATCTTCACTAGACCGAGTGCTCGAGGATTTGAGACGATCTGCTATTCACATCCCAGTCCAAGATTGAGAGTCCCTGTATTTACATCAGGCAGAGCAGCATCAGCAAGGAACGGTCACCTAGCTGTGGGAACACAGACACACAAAGCGCACTTGCCAGTGTTCCTTTTTGGAAGCCCACCACACATCTTTCATAGCCACACACAGCTCGACCTTTAAAAAATGAGCACTTTCCTAGAAGAAGTCTAACTGTCCAGTTTAAAGGTTAAAGTTCATCTCTATTTCTTGGGCATCCTTTAGTGACACACAAACCTAGACACTGTTCTTAATACAAATTTGATAAATGTGCAAGAATTGGGTGCCGTTGAAACTTGTCTCTTCCATCTTTCTGTCCTGACCTTGTGTCCTAGTCCGCAGTGTTTGCAAGGCCATTCCTTCTTTATAATTCAGTATTCAGGCTCAATGTGTGTGGGGCTCATATTTTAGGGATGAAGTGGGCTTAAGGATTCAGAATTACCTTCACTCCTGGAGAGGAGCGTATGAAAGGTTTCAGACTGCTTCCCCCAGCAATTTGGAATAAATACTGTGTAAAAACAGCTCCGGCTAAAGAAACCCTCCACACGTTCCTTATAAAACACTTACAAACCCAATTTTGCTAGGACACCACTCTCCAAAGTGCTGTCCCCGAGGCTTCATTCCATTGTTTCATTATTTTGGTTTGTTATCAACTGTCAGGCACAATTGTCTTTAAAAGTGTTTTTGGTGGCTTCTCTTGTCTTGTTAGAGAGCTTTTAAAGTCTACCGAATGCCTTAAGAGTAAAGGTTCCGAAGCAATGAGTCTGAGTCCTTTGGTTAACATCCGGGTAATATTGCCCCAGGAAAGTTCCTACAGAGCAGCTAGGGCTGGGATTTCTTCAACCCACAGGCCCAGCCTCCCTCACTCTCTCCCTTGCTTTCCACATTCCAGAGTCTGCAGGAGAAGGAGGAACCGGGAGGGAGTTGCTTGGCCATTCACTCACCATGAAGAGCTTCCCTTCTCTTCCCATAGGCGAATGAGGTATTTCTACTAACCAATCAGCATCTTCTCTTTCCATCCTTTAACTACCCATCTACTAGCAGGCCAGGTCTGAGGAGACCCGTGTATCTATATACATGGCAAACTAACATATAAATACATACATACAACCGATCATTACATCCAGTATCCAGATGAGGAAGCACATGTGCTTTGTAGAACTAAATAAATTTCAAACATAAGTTAAAACGAAAATACAGTGTTTACACTTCGGTAGGAAACGTTTTTTAAAAACAGACCAAGAAGTCCCCCACCCTCCCCTCAAGGTCCATTGCCCATGGATGACCGGTGACCCCACAAGGAGATGCGACAAGTCCATGCGCACGACGTGTCAGCTCGTGGCTTCGGTATTGCACGCTCAGACTCAGGACGCTCCGATTCCAGGAACAGCCACCCACCAGGGCATGCTTGCGGATGAGGCTGAAGAGGGGCTTTCGCATGGCCATCCAGGACTTCCCTCCATGGCGCCCCTCCCCTCCCCCATGTTCTGCCAGTGGGAGAACCAGGCTCAAGTTAGTGGAGACCTCCCAGGTCTCTGAGAAACAGTGCCAACCTCCGTGCTGGGGGATGTTCTCCACCTAGAAATACCATGTTCGGGGTCCAAGGTGAAGCAGCCAGGGTTCAAGGTGAAGCAGCAGTATTTTTTCATTAGTGTCCCCACCCTGCAGGATTGTACAGGGACCTGGAAGTTGGCTGGTGGTGGGGGGAGAGGGGAGCGTGTATCTAAAGGTTAAAATTTGTTCTAAGTTTTAAGAGAACCAAGGGGAATGGTTGTGACTAATGTGAACAAATCTGTACTTCCAATGGCATTATTCTTAGGAGGGCCGAGGTGTGGGCACCAAGCTCTACAGTGAGGACACACGGAGACAAAACGCAGGCTGGCAGGGTCCCCTCTGCCAAGGACGAGCTAGGAGTCTGTCTCTGACACAGGGGATGGCATCTCAATTTAAAGCAGGGGAGATGGGGACCAGAGGAAGTCCCTGCCGAGATTCCGGGGACTCTACCGCTGTCCAGCCTCGCGGATGCGACAGGCCACCGCGGTGATGAGGGCCGCCCCCTTCCCGCTGCCGTCCTCCGACTCCAGGAAGGACACGTCACACCTCGGAGCCAGGTCCTTCACTGTCGCATGCATGACTTTGGCAAAGCTGGAGGTTGGGAAGAGACAGGAACAAAACCTTAGTCACGACTGCCCTGTGTCGCAGAGATGAGACCCTGTGAAGTGACGCTGGAAACCCAGGGATACTTAAATGAGGAAAAGAATGACAGCTACCGTGTACTAAATAAACACTTACTACAAAGTCCATATCAGAAAACAGGCGTGGAGCCACTAGCGAAATGCCCAAATTCTACATCAGAGCAGGCGAGTGGAGGGCTAAGATCGAAACCTCTGAGATTTGGGCGAGTTATGTTCTTAAAACTACTCAGTGAAAGAGGCCTTCAACCATCACGAACAGAGAGAGAGGGAGAAAGATGGGCAGGGAGTGTGGTCACTCACTGAGGATGGAGCTTGTAGAGGGTTCCGTCCACACCCACTGTCACTTTCAGAGTGTCCAGCCCACGGTTTTCTCGTATCTTGTCCACCACGGCGGCCATGCCTGCGCCACAGAGCTGGGCTGCCCGCCGCGCCACGACGGTGCACACCTCCTTGACGATGATGCTGTCGTCACAGGTGCTCTCGAGCCCCAAGTGGTGCAGGATGGCTCGGACCTGCAGCAGGGCCAGGCAGTCACTGGGGTAGGAGGGAGACAGCAGGTGGTTAGTCATGTGCCAGAGGGGTCAGGAGCCTGGCCATGCAGGAGCTGGTATGAAGGCCAGCGCCCTGCAAGGTGGCTCCTAGTCTGAGCTCATCCCATGGGACCCAACACACTCTTCCTGGGTGCAGCTGTAACACGAAGAAACAGCTCCCTATGCCACTTGGCCTAGATGAGGTGCAGCAATGCTACTACAGCTACCGTGGTTCTGATACACAAAACGAAAGGAAGTTCGCCGTCTAGGTATTCCACTCACTCAGAGAAAACAAAGACAAGATAACGCTCATGGGGCAGTTGTCGGTTGCAAAGCTCTCTCACGTCCATTCTCCCAATGCTGTGCATGGGTCAGCAAGACAAGCATCACTGGCCAACTTCAGATCCATGTTCTATTCCTACTCCCCCACCCTGGGGGTCTGAAATCCACTTGAGTAATATTTACAAAACAAATGTAAATAAAATTGTAGGAAGAAAATAAACCCTAGTGCAGTGACGGCGAACCTTTTGAGCTCAGCGTGTCAGCATTTTGAAAAACCCTAACTTAACTCTGGTGCCGTGTCACATATAGAAATTTTTTGACATTTGCACACATATAGAACTTTTTTGACATTTGCAACCATAGTAAAACAAAGACGTCTATTTTTTATATTTATTTTATATATTTAAATGTCATTTAACAAAGAAAAATCAACCAAAAAAATGAGTTCGCGTGTCCCCTCTGACACGCATGTCATAGGTTCGCCATCACTGCCTTAGTGTATAAAGGGCAGTACTCAAGAACCCTGGAGTCATCTACATGAGCAGACATGTAGAATATGTCCTTTCTATGTGCACACAGCCTCAGGCCCCACTCATGTCGGTTCCTGTTTTTCTATACGCCTGAGAGTAATGACAGAGCATTAAATTTTAAAGGGCTCTGAAATTCACTGTTCTAATTTAAGAAATTTTTTGATCTTTGCAACCACAGTAAAACAAAGACTTATATTTTTGATATTTATTTTATATATTTAAATGCCATTTAACAAAGAAAAATCAACCAAAAAAATGAGTTTGTGTGTCCCCTCTGACATGCGTGTCATAGATTCGCCATCACTGCCCTAGTGTATAAAGGGCAGTACTCAAGGACCCTGGAGTCATCTACATGAGCAGACATGTAGAATATGTCCTTTCTATGTGCACACAGCCTCAGGCCCCACTCATGTCGGTTCCTGTTTTTCTATACGCCTGAGAGTAATGACAGAGCATTAAATTTTAAAGGGCTCTGAAATTCACTGTTCTAATTTAGAGCAGACTCTTCTGCCATTAGACTGGAGAGGGAAGGATTTGCTATAATGAGTCACCACACGGCCTCCTTCGGCATTGCCTGACGAGCCACCTGCAACCAGTCCCGGGTGCCTCTTTACTGCAGCAGCAGGCAGGAAGACCCTCGGCCATGCCTAAGCGCTTTAATGGGTTCTCTTCCTCTGTGCATTCCGATTTGCCTCTTATGAGCAGGTCTCTTTCTAACTTTGATATTTGACCTGAGACCCAATATGACTTTGCAGGGGCTCATACCAGCTTAGCATAATTTTTCATGGGAATGTTATGCTTCCCCTTAAAATGACAACTGTCCATAAGACACTTGAAATATAGCCTGGCCGCAGTGGCTCAGTGTTTGAGCATCAACCTATGAACAGGAGGTCACGGTTTGATTCCTGGTCAGGGCATATGCCCAGGTTGTGGGCTCGATCCCAGTAGGGGGCATGCAGCAGGCAGCCAATCAATGACTCTCTCTCATCATTGATGTTTCTATCTCTCTCTTCCTCTCTCTGAAATCAATAATATATATTAATACATATTATGGATTATATAATATATATTGACTATATAAAATATATATCAATCTATCTATCTATATATCAATATATCTATCTATATTAAGGTACTTGGAATATACACTACAGATATGAATGTGCCAGCAACTAAACTGACCTGTCTGTAAGCCACGCCCTGATAGAACCTGCAGCGTGTCTGTCCATGAAGAGGACATGGCCATACCCTACTCCAGGACCGAAATCCTCACCTCTCAATCTGAGACAGGAACTTGGTTTCAAAGATTCCCCTTGTCTTGAGTCGCTCTGAGATGCGGCCACGGAAGAGCAGCCCACGCTTGGTGAAGTCAATGAGGATGTTGCGGACAATCTCGCCCAAGTACATGCCACTGATCATTTTCTCAAACCTGCGATGCGGGTGACATCCATGGAATTAAGTAGGAGGAGGGGGGATGTG